ATGAAATTACTACGTGTATACACAAATATTGATATACAGATAGCAAAATGTATATTGATATGCTTATTCATTAATATTGATAGAAATGTTTTGGACATGAGATGCTCTCCAAAAATAATGGCTTTTATATTCATGCTGTGAAATTGCACATCTATTTCATCAGGCATAGAATATAGGTATCTACTTGGCAAGCCGCAACTGGATTTTTTGAGCCTTGGCTTCATGGGTTTGTCAGCCATGATTCCATTTCTTCAAGCCGTGAATTCCATATCTCAGCCGTGAAAAGCCATTTACGAACAATGAACTTTTTATTTACAAAGTCCCATGCACGTGTTACCCCACATTTCTAATTTTACCCTAAAAACAGTCACTATCATTTGTCTTCACATAACCAATTAAAGCCCAAATTTTTTATTTGTGAAATTTCAATCTAAACACCTTCATATGGAGTAAATATTTCATATAGAACAGTTTCTTCACAATTTTAGATCAGTAGTTTAAAGAAAAGAGAGTAGCAGTAGTTTAAAGTAAAAGTCATGAATGGGGATCATTTGCAATAGGGTAATAAAAAACACTAATTATTTTTCATCACCATTTCTATTATTATTTCCAAACTTATGAAGTTAGTACATGTTAATAGTGCTTCTTTCTAATGCTAAATGCACATTCCTTTATTTGTAACCACAAAATTGAGATTACATGAAAAAACATTGCTCTTTTCAAACTAAATATATGAAAGTAATAACTACCCTCAAAATGAGACGAATTTCACTGATGCCATTCAGGGAAGCATTCAACTTGTAGCCCAACGTTGCACTTGGTAAATTTCTTTTGGACATTTATTTTGCAAATGGTGCATTTCCATTGTCTTCCATCATCTGTTCACTGCTGAACATGCCTTGAATTACTTCTTAACACATTGTCTATCACTTGCCGCTGTGATTGCTTGCTGAATGAAGGGCGACCTGATAACTTAGGATCTGATAAAGATGATACTTGCATATATGCCCTTACTATTCTCCTCTTGAATTCCAGCAAGGGCATTTGTTCATTTGCCATGCAAAACAGTATGTGTGCATTTATGACTGTCATGTCAAGAATGTTTGTGAAAAGTGGAAAATGCCATCAAACGGGGTAAAAAGGGACAGGCGGGGTAAATCAGGACTCAGGACTTATTGCAAAACTAAAAATAGTGGCATAAACTTCAACATTTTTACTATCTATTATGTATAAAGCTAGTCAAGAAATCAAACATGTACTATCACTTAAAAATCGCTGAAAAAAGCGTGAAAAGTATGATTTTGGAAAAGTACTTCTACTAAGGTCTGGAGCAAAAAAAAAAATGTGCCGTATTAAAAAATTTTATTTACATAAAAGTTGCATACAGGTATCGGCTTGAAAACGCAATTGACGGAATTTGCCTATCTAATTAAAAAAAAATGGCAGCCATTTCCATGCGACGGGGTAATAAGGGACACACCCCTGGGGTAATTAGGGACAACCCCTAAAACACATTTACAGCAGATCCTTTTTTAGCGAAGGCCACAGTTAAGATGAATATGGGTTAATCACAAAGATTTCTGTTTAAATTTCAAATTTAATCAAAAATGGAAATTTAAATAAAATCTTCTTGGGGAGCAGAACATCCTGGATGTTAGGCAGAACTCCTAACATCCAGGTCACTCAATGCAATGGTCACTCCCTAAAGAAGCTTGTTAAGCTCCTTGTTGTTACGTTACATCTAAAAGGAAGAGGAGGACTTTGGAGAATTGCTGGTAATAGGTGAGTACACTCTGCATGCTTCAAACTTTTAAAATTGAGTTCTATTTCAAGTGTCCCTTTTTACCCCATTTCTAGATAAATTCAGGAGCCTTTTATATTGCATCTAGCACCTTACAAATAGCATATGAAATTTTTTTAAGATTTGATTTGATAGCCCTCACAAAGAGCTATAAAATGAGCCTAAACTTGTTTGTGAAATGTTTCATGGTAAGAAGTTATTACCAAAAAATTCTCAAAACCGTCCCTTTTTACCCTGTTTGACGGTACCATTTCAAAACATGAACCATGATCCTGTATTTATTGATGAGCCAATCCATTTTATCCACACCACTCATGTACTTGTTGTAATTAGCAATGAACTTTGGTTGTTCAAGCGAGACCTGATCCTTCTTCTGTCTGCTCCATCTTTTCACTTTTTCAGTCAGCTCTACCCCTTGATAATTTGACAACATCTTGACATTACTGTTGTCTTTCCATACAACAACAAAGATGTTATGGCTACTGTCAAAGCTGTAGTAAATAAAGACCCGTTTTTGCTTTTTGAGAGGTAATAGAAATTTGAGGTAATACATAAGTATGTGGCAAAATACATTTTCTTTGGCTTTACCATATTCTTACTGCCCATTGTTATGGGCTGTCACTCTTTCTGCTGGAGAGTGGTGGTTACCTTGATCCCACTTGGGGAAGTAACGCTCCCCCAGTTCCGAGTTAATGTAGAGTTGTTTTTAGAATCTTGAAATTCATGGTAAACATCAATATTTGTGTTATCAGTGCTCTCCATCTCATTTCTCTTTGCCCTTTTTGCAGACCATTATTTTATGTGTCAGTGGTGATTGATTAAAATTCCAAATCTCCTCTCCGCCATCATATCATACCCACACTACTGCCTGTGGTTGGTGAGTAGTAGTTGCCAAGATATAGGTACCTTTTTAAATCACTGCTCATATATTCAGTGGTAAAGATTTTAATGTCATGTTTTTGCGAATACCGTTAAAGATGAGAAATATATTTATCTGTTATCCTGTTTGATAGTTTATTGTGTATATATGTTTTTGAAGTTTGTATTGATGTTGTGTGTAATAATAGTGTGTTAGGTGTTGATAATGTAAATATTTTACAGAAGCATCTTCAAGTACTTCACATAAGCGACCCATGCCCCGTTTGCCCGGTTGTCCGGTAGCCCGGTAGTCCGTTTGTACGGTTGTACAGTTGCCAGTTTTCCGTTTGCCCGGTTGCTTCGTTGTACGGTTGCCAGTTGTCCAGTTCAGGAGTTATATGGTTACTCGATTATATGGTTAATGGTTTTCTAGTTTCCCAGTTATTTGGTTAGGCTTTTGTTTTAGAGCTTTCTCTTAGGTTTAAATTTTAAGTCCCTTTATAATGAAGTTTTGTATTAGAATTAAATAAAGTTAAACCAAAAAGAGAAAAACACCTGGTGGACAGGGATGGCTATAAGGGGAGTTGGGAGGCCATCTTTTATTTAACCCTTTTGAGTCTTGAAGAACCTTGAATACCTTCCCTCACTTAACCAATAAAGACGACCCATTACACCATGATCCCCAAATGGGGATTGACATAAAATACATATTTACAGCATTACTAACAGTATAATTGAGATTTAACCTTAGTATTTGCAGAAGAACATAGACTATTCTACCAGCTAATATGATATTATGAAGCAGAAATGTTTATAAAGGGGAAAAAATGTACATGTCAATAATTTATAACTCTGTCACATCACGAATAAGGTCACTCCTTTCAGAAAATTTCATATATATGATGTTTTTTATGAAAGGGTATGCTTTCAACTGATCTCAGTTGAGGTCTATAACCTATATGTATGGTTTATTGAAGAAGAGCATGTTCCTGGTCAATAGTTCAGGAATAATATCCACAAAAAACAAATAATCCCCAATTAGGGATCATGGGTGCTAATGGGTGGGCAACTGAACAAGTGATGATGCAGTCTGACCGCTCTGACATGACCGCAACTACGTGATCTTCCAGGAAACATTTTGGGTTGACTTGTTGCTACGTTGTAACCGGGTGCACTAGCAGGTGGAACAAACTTGTTGTTCACTTACTGGAAATTACTCTTATAGTGCTTGTCACAGAAAACAGGAATTAATAAATTACTTAGGGATTTGCTTTTATTTAAGTATTTATTTTCATTTATTGAAAGAAAAGCCAGTATGTTAAAAATTGTATACAATAAGAAAAATTTGCCAAACTCATAATTAGAATTGAATCAATGAACAAGCAAATTTAGGACTATGAAACTATGAAAATATGGGTTATGAAACTATGGGTGGAGCAATACACACAGCAACTGAAGCAAACAAATAAACATAAATATACATGCAACAAGAGAAATAGTAATTTATCTGCTATGTGAGGGAATTTAGTAAAGTTAATTTGACTTTTAACATGAACAACAAAATAGGAGTGAATTAAGGAATATATTATAGAGTTAAAACAGTCCAGGGCAAATGCAAGTGCAGATCTTTTAAGTGCAAAAATGGAACAATTAAAGTAATTATTGCAATGCAAGCATCGCACTAAAAATTAATCAAACTGACAGATAAGAAAAGAAAAATTATAACAATAAATGACAATAGAATGAATAAGAACCAAAATGCATAAAATAATTAACCTGAAACATGTACATAATTGAATCACGCACAAAGAATAAGCCAACTCACCATTTGGTGATGGTGGTGAGAGTTTCAGAATATTCTGCTAACTCGAGACAAGTTTATGTGCATGCATTAAATAGAGTTTATGGGGTCATTCAATACCTGAAACGAGACAGGAAAACATAGGGTGACATTAGACACAAATGCATGAAATACTATTAGTTTGCATGATAAGCATGAAAGATGACAAATAATAACCATGTTTGTAATGAGTTAAAACAATAAATGAATGAAATAGAAAATTATATAATTGTGAGCTGAACACATGAGCTTAGTCTGCCCTAAGAGTACCCCTGGTAACAATGTTCTGGCTGTTTATTTTTGGTGGGAGGTGGGAGCATTGAAGTTTTTATACTGTGGATTGTGGAAGTTGAAAATTCTATGAAATAACATGTTTGCAAAGTGCAAACTGATTTTTTTCAATCAAACAAAAATTTATGACATTAGATCTGCAAGATTTCATACCTACAGCCTACTGAAATTATATGATATTAGAGCCCAATATTTCAGAAAAAATAGGAGTTTTCCAGCCCTGTATTTCATGATGGTCTCCATTTCTATTATATATGCCTTATTTCAATGTAGTTGTGCTCTCTACAATTTCGTGGATTCCTCCAGTTCTATTACCATTACTGTCAAAATTATAGATTAAAAACTTTGACCTCAGTGATTCATAATTATCATTGCATTTGATGATGGCATCCGATACTAAAGAATGCCATGTAGTGCTGCACCAACCTTCTGATGCTGCAGTCTGGAAGGGCAGATGCCCAGAGCAGAGCCCAATGCAAGCATCTCCTGCTGGCAGCAAAGTAAAGTCTGAAGGTAAGCCAGATTCCATGTGCATCATTAATCAATTGTTACAGAGGAGGAACTGAGGTTATGTCAGTTTATCAAATTTAGTTCTTATTTGCATTTATTTCTTGGGAGTTTCAAAACAAGATTTGATAACATTGTGTGGGAATATGCCACCTCACAAGTCTCACTCACCTGAGTAATATTGTTGGATATCAGCTAATCTAACTTTTTGGTCTAATAGGCACATTAATCATTAATTTGTTGAACATTATATTTACTGTGAGATATCTTGCTCTATAGCCTATTGTTACCAGTACATAAATGTACTTATTTTCCAGCCTTGGATAAGGTTGATCCTTCTCTGACCCTCAAAGTTTGCACTATCTTCATCAAAGGGGAGCCTGAGGATGAAACTGAAGAAGTATCCATCAAGGAGGAACCATTCTTATATGGAAGTGAGGTAATTGGAGTTATACTGCAAACGTTTATCAAATTATTTGAAGTGCCTGCACAGATTTTTTGAAAAAATTGGCACAATGCTATTTCTGTAATCAAATATTCAAATTAGTCATTAGGAGAAACATCATAACTCAGTATTTAGTCTGAAACAAAAAGAAATGATAATCATGTATGAAGCTCCCTCATCTTGAGTCAATAATTGATTTGTAACTATGGAATTTTTATTTTAATTACTTACATTAAATTTGTTGTTTTAAATCTAAATTCACTATTTTTTGCCTATAGTTTTCTGTGTTTAAAAGAAATTAAAATTAATGGCCCTTGTTGGCAGGAACTGTGCCAAACTGTCCAAATTTTCTTTTCAAAATACCTCTTCCTTGCTCTTCAATGAATGAATAAGAATAGAGCAGAGAATTGCTAAGAATAATATTGGAAAACATTCATGTAAATTGATAGGAGTTTTTAACCCAAGTAATGTAATATCAATACAATACAAACGAAGCTTTTTTGATTCAAGAAAAAGTTACTAAAAATGTTCAAATTTTGACTTGTGTTTAAAGGTCCATTTTAATTTGAAGGGAAGAGGCAAGGGAAATGAAATGAAGAGGAAATATTTGAAAAGAGGAAAGGGAAATATTTGCACTATGAAGTATATATATCAATATATGAGAAGATATTTTTATAGCAAGTAATTTGTGATGCTACCATATTCATGTACTTTTAAGAAATTAGGAACTTGCAGGGAAGTCTATGAGGAGTTGTTTATTTTATCATTCTCCATAAAGTGCACACATGACTGCAGCCACATCAATATTGTCCTCCACATCCCCCAGGCTTCTTCAACTGCACATCTCAGCCCTGCACCTGCACTTTATTCTTGTGTGCCGTGCAAGATGGAAGCTCAAGTTGAGGCTCATGACGCCCACCCAAACTCCTTACAGAACATTTCTGCTCTGCTGTTGAATCAGGTGAATATTTGTAATTCCAGCTTTTCATATTTTACACTATACCCAATGAATCCTTGAGAGAACTTCCCAAATCTTTAAAATTACCAATGTTTTGTTTATTGTTTGGATTTAAATATAAAATAGGCAACTTAATAAATACTTGTAGGGAAACAGGTACATTTTCCTTGTACAAATTTAATCCTGCAAAGAGAAATTTGATGTTTTTTGATCTTCAGAAAAAGATGGCAATACCTTTGATTTCCCCTAAGCAAGGACCAAATCCTTGAACAAGACATCTAATTTATGCAGTGAAAGGAGATTAGGAAATGAGCTGGAATCTGTTACATTCAATGAAACCTCATCACTCTCTTGAATCAATTTGTGGAAGGATTTACAAGGTAATTACATTTTCCTCATCTTTTTGGTGTTCATTATTATCAACACCACACAGCTTGGTACATGGATGGATTGTTTGGGCTGCCAACAGAAGTTCTTTCATCTTGACATTGGCCATTGTCTGCTTATGATCATATTATATATCCATATTATATACATATAGCTGAGTAAGTCCTACTTTATGTGGCCCTGGATATGTTATTGATTCTGCTTATCAACAAGGAAACACATATAGTAGATTAATATTGAGCACTAGAACCGCAAAATAGAATTTTAAAATTTAAAGGTTATATTTACCTCAGTAATTCCGGAAATATTGTTTCAAAATATAAAATGTGGGATTTTTGCTGTGGTCAGCTCTGACATCACTGGGCCAGCTGAGGCTGCACCCAATGTGCAACTGCAGCTGGATCTCTCCAAAGAGATAACTAGCTGCATGCATTGGTGTTGTTGATTCCGCTTTTCAAGTTATTTAGAATACTTAGGAAATAAAGCATAAAGTTCAGTGGGTGTACAGTCTTGAAAAAAGTACAAAGTTGTGACAGCCTCTGACTTGTAGATCTGGGGAATGATTGTTCGGAGGTTCAGATTGGCAGGCATAGTGGATTATTGGATGAGAGATGATTTTGTATGTCTGTTGTAGGCTTAGTCCTTGTCTTGTACATACATATGATGTTTGTGAGAGGACTTCTAGTGTGTATTAAGTTTTGTGACTTTTCCTGTTTTGATTTTATGGTGGTAGGAAAAGTGAATATGGCATCAAAGGTTAGGCCAAGGAGTTTTAGGTAGTGTTCAAGTGGAGGCAGTTGATTATTAATTTTTATTTGAGGATGGTAGAGGTACTGGGCTATGTGAGGTGTTATGAAGGTGACTGTTAATTTTGTGGTCAAGATTTTCAGGTTTTAGGTATTGGAAAAGTTAGGGTATAGCCTTGCTGTTGAAGAGTAACTACACTATGGCCAAACCATAGCTCTATTACTAATCTGCATTAGCAAGTTTAAAAAATTAATGTATCTGACATAATGTTAAATAATAATAATAATGATGCTCAGTAATCCTTGCATGAACCAAATCAAATTCCCAAATGAGTGAAATATTTGTAACAATTTTCAATTTTTATTTTGACAACTAAGGGATTTCAATGTGAATAAAACTTGAAAATCAACAGTTTAATATGACTGTTATTATGTGAAATTATTTTGATCTATATTTTTTATCATAAGCATGACAAAGTTGGATCAGCATCAGGATTTAATGTGAATAAAACATGAAAGTCATTAGTTTAATTTGACTGTTATTATTATGTGAGATTATTTTGATCTATATTTTTATCATAAGCATGGCAAAGTTGGATCAGCATTGGCATCAGGAGAGGCTGTTGGTGACGCTGACAGTTCTGGAGCGTCCAGCTCAAAAAACATCAGGCTTGAGTGTTCCCAGCATGGATTGGCCCCTGCAGGTGCAGGCCAACTGCAGCAGCAGCACATTGATCTAGAACATCCTACTTCAGGACCCGCCCACTGCTCAAAATATACCTCTAATTCAGGAAGTGGACTATTGCAGTACATTAATGCTGAGCATTTCTTAGAAAATTCATTTAAATTCCCTGACTATGAACAATCATGTACTGCAAGAAAATCACTGCAAGAGCATATCAACAGCAATCATATGAGAAGAAGTGAACACCAATGCCAATTCTGTTTGAATTCATGTGCTACTGATGCTGATCTCAAACAACATATTCTCTTGCATCATCCTCAGAGAAATGCACAGAAAAACCTGAGGGGTAAATGTGTGGGTAGTTGCAAGGAAATCTTGCACAAGCATTGCCTTTCTATATGTTCATCAATGAAGAAGTTTCGATGCTCAGAGTGTGATTATGCTTGCAGCAGAAAACAGACCTTGAAAAGTCATTTGCTTTACAAACATTCAACGGAAAAACCTTTTCAATGCACTGAGTGTGATTATGCTTGCACCACAAAATGGGACTTGAAAAGACATTTGCTCTACAAACACTCAACACAAAAACCTTTTCAATGCGCTGAGTGTAATTATGCTTGCAGCACAAAAGGGAACTTGAATAGTCATTTGCTCTACAAACACTCAACAGAAAAACCTTTTCAATGCACTGAATGTAATTTAGCTTGCACCACAAAAAAGGGCTTGAAAAGACATTTGCTTTACAAACACTCGACAGAAAAACCTTTTCAATGCGCTGAGTGTGATTTTGCTTGCACCACAAAAAAGGCATTGAAAAGTCATTTGCTCTACAAACACTCAACAGAAAAACTTTTTCAATGCGCAGAGTGTAATTTTGCTTGCACCACAAAAGGGAGCTTGAAAAGTCATTTACTTTACAAACATTCAGCAGAAAAACATTTTCAATGCGCAGAGTGTGATTATGCTTGCACCACAAAAGGGGACTTGAAAAGACATTTGCTTTGCAAACACTCAACAGAAAAACCTTTTCAATGCACTGAGTGTGATTTTGCTTGCACTGCAAAAGGGAACTTGAAAAGTCATTGGCTTTACAAACACTCAACAGAAAAACCTGCGCTGAGTGTGATTTTGCTTGCACTGCAAAAGGGACCTTGAAAAGTCATTTGCTTCACAAACACTCAACAGAAAAACCTTTTCAATGTGCTGAGTGTGATTTTGCTTGCACCACAAAATTGGTCTTGAAAAGACATTTTCTTTACAAACATTCAACAGAAAAGCCTATTCAGTGCCCTGAGTGTCATTATGCTTGTATCACAAAACAGGATTTGAAAAGACATTTTCTTTACAAACATTCAACAGAAAAACCTATTCAGTGCTCTGAGTGTAATTACGCTTGCATCACAAAACAAAATTTGAACAAACATTTTCTTCGAAAGCATTCTACAGAGAAAGCCCCTTTGAGGGGCCCATGAGTGTGATGATACATGTATTATAAAAAATGCATATATGACAGCATGTACTCTCCAGGCACCATCATAAACCATTTCAGTGACCCAAGTGTGAAGATGCATGCGGATGGAGGGAGCTGGACACAGGAATCAAGTGCATAACATTTGATCTTTTGAGACAACAGGACCAAGCTATGTAGAGTACCTAACCCAAGACACCACTGCTATGAAGTAAGAGGGGCACAGCTGTTCAATTTCCCTCAGAGAAGGCTGATGTTCAGAACGGAGTGGGTATGAAGAGAACAATAAAGCCTCTCACTTGTTGGGGCTTGAATGCTGTTCATTGGAATTTCAGCTTCCATTTTTCTTAAAGACTTCATGAGAGGCTGGAAGCCGTCAGTGTTGTGAAAGTGGCAGTCATGCTACTACTGTGTTGCAGTTACCCCCAGATTTACTGACTGATGGTTACTACAGTACTTTGCTGATGGTTTTCTAATACCAGAATATACTCATGTATTGTACAATTGATTGAATTTACCAGTAATTCAGTGATGGTGCAAAACTTACAATGTCTTCAGTTCATTGAATTTCATCATTTGTTGGTGTCAACATTTGTTTTTCTTGTGGACTGATTTTACTGAATAAGATTTGTTGATGCTAATCTAGCCCAAACATAATGATGTCATAAATTTAGGATAAGTGATTTTATTTTTTAAGTGTCTTATTCCCAGAAATGTTTTGTTCTTAAATCGGTACCAATCAATTTATTCCTAATTTTACTGCTTAAGGACTGAATCCTTCGTTATGGTTCCTTACAATTGAAATAAAATATTGTATGCTGATAATACTGATATCCGTCTTATTGTATGCTGATAATAATACATGCCTTAAAATACTGAGTATTTTAAAGTGTGCTTGTCTGGTATTCCTCAGCTCTCTTTGTATTGTAGGTATTACATTTTATCTTGATGTTTATAACATTTATTTTTGTAACAGCTTCATCAAACAAAAAATTCATCCATCTTCCTCAGAAATATTCACCTTCTTAGTTATTTCATGTTTCCTTCTAATGCACGAATTTCCTAATAAACTGTCTTTCTCAGTTATTCCCAATTTATAGGCACCTCAAGCACTGCCAGAATTAAATCAATTGATCGTATGTAATAAACCATGTATCCTTTGTTCTAACTTTGAGTATTAGAAATCTGGAAATACCAACTTTAATTTCCCATTAAATTATGTAGTTGCACCAAGAAGGTGACGAGTTGCAGGCCAGAAGTCCTGACGAGAGTTGCAGGACAGCGAGGTGTTGCAGGCCAGAAGTCCTGACGAGAGTTGCAGGACAGCGAGGTGTTGCAGGCCTGAAGTCGTAATCAGAATAAGTAAAAATGTTTCTATTTATGAAAAATATCGTGCGATAAATCCCTTGGTGTATTAATAATGGTATGAAAATTAACATCACTACCTACTGCTCACGAAAATTGTAGGAGTGAATGACAGGTGGTAGAAATGATGAAGAATGTATGATACAATCTTGTTCCAATTACTTTTAATTTTAACTGCTGAACACGGAAGCAATTCTCGTGAACGTGTGAGCTATTTCGATGTGGACTGAAATACATGACGTCATCACTCGTTAAGACTGAACTGTAGGACGAGAGAGTTGCCGCTTGACAGGTGACGGCGACAGAGGACACATGGCGACTTCTGCAGGGCGCGCAACATCAGCAGGATCTGCGTCTTTGTCAGGACCGTGACGTGCGAGGTTCACTTCATGACTGCTGACGAGGGCTTGGGCGTCGGCGGCCAGGAGGTACTGAGTGAGCAGCTCTACTTGGGGCAGTTCGAGGGCGGGTGTTGCGGTCACTAAAATTACCCCACTTGAGTCAATACATTTCAAACTATTAATATAATATAGGTTAAAATTTCTTGGCAACGAATACCCCACTTGAGTCATTACATTTCAAACTATATTTTAAAAATTTCTTGGCAACGAGTGTCGATAAACAGAGTGTTTCGATGTTAAGTGTACACATTGAGACTAGAAATTGTCCAAATTTTCATGACTGATCACAATATTTCTAACATGAAATTTTTTGCTGTCGCTATTTGGAATAATTCAGGATTCAGGACTAATTTGTTCACGAGCTCATCACATTTAGGTATAGAGTTTAATATAACCTAGTAAAACGTGAAGAAGCTACAGCAGATTGACATTAGAACATTTAATAATCATGATGGAAACATCGCATGAATAGATACAAAAATTAGATCCGTTTTATATTATTCATTATATATATCCATTTAAGAAACAGTGTAATTGGCATTTCAGTAGGTTCCCATAGATCGTGGCAATTACAAATTTAACCTAGCCTGGTTAGCCATCAAATCTACCATCAATTATGAATTCGTCAGTTCACGCAACGATGGCCCGTATGCTAAATGGGGCACTAGCACTACGAAGTAGCACTACGCACTACAAGCCGTAGTGCGGTACTAGTGCGACATGGAACACTACGGTTGGCATGCTAAATAGGGCACTAGCACTTTGAAGTAGCACTACGCACTACAAGCCGTAGTACGGCATGGAACACTACGGTTGGTATGCTAAATAGGGCCAAAAGCATAACGCGCACTACAAAAATCTGAAGTGTTCTACACACCGCACTTCACGACGACACTACGGTATATTTCACCTTGTTTACTTCGTCAGCTATAGATCTGTTTGGCTTACAGCAAAGGCTTCATCGCGTAAAAACCTCAGGAACAGCATGCCATGAATATAAAAAAGTGTACCGCTTCAGTGAACAACATGTTATTCTTATGGCTGACATTTTCCTTGGCGAAACAGAAGAACAGCGTAGAAGTAAAAAATACTTTTCTTGTTTTTTGATACCATGTTTTGAATTTTATTATTTTTTTTTTTGAAGTCATTTTGAATTCTTCTGCAAGAACTTTCCATGCTTCTCTCTTTTGTTCGATGTCTTTGGTAAGCGTGGACTTTGAATATATGATGGGAAAGGTGCGCAGACGCATTGCGAATTTCAGCTCACCATCACAATTTTCATTAGTACCATTACCATCACAATTAAACATTTTACATCAACCTTCTGCAAAGAATGAGAATTACTTAGGGAATAATTAATTATTTGAGCACTTAACTACCCTTCTTCAATAGACTCATAGCGTAGTGCGGCACTATAAAGTACTCTAACAGCGAAGTAGCACTTCAAAGTCTTTTTGCATACGAATCAGTAGTGCGACACTAAGCGACACTAAACATTGTAGAGCTACTTCGAAGTGCTTAGTATCTGTGACGTATTTAGCATACCAACAGGACACTTCGTAGTGCATAGTGCTACTTCGTAGTGCTAGTGCCCTATTTAGCATACGGGCCATTGTTATAACGCGCCTGGTAGAAGCTGTCACTACAACATGCCTGGTAGCACGCGTGTTACAAACTGTCACTACAATACGCCTGGTAGAACCTGTGTTGTGAGATTTGATTTCGTTTTAGTTTTTTAGTTTGTGGTGTCTAATTTATGTTTAGTATTTTGGTAGCCTAATATTTTTGTGAGTTCTAAGTTTTCGAGTGCAGCACGTTTTCGTAGCTAGTTTACCGTCCGTAGCTCCTATTTCGAGTCTAAATCGATTTTCACGATGGCAAAATCTTAACGTTGCAAACGACAATAATCAATTCGATGGTTAACTTTCGGGAAGCTTTAAAATTTGAGTGAAATAAAGAAAATAATTGGTGTAAATCGGTTTTTTATACTTGACAACTGACTAATTATTATATCAAGATATTTTGGAGTCTGATCAAAGCAGAAGAGTTTTCACTTCATGTGAACAACGGAATTGTGAGCTGATGTCGGGTATATCCTGCATAGCAATTCAAGATTCAACACGTGTTATAAACTGTCACTACGACACGAATTATAGAAAGCGTGTCTCAAACCGCCTTTACAAAACGCCTGGTAGAACGTGTGTTAATTAAAGGGCCTTTGCAACGTGTTCGGTATAGAGCGTGTTGAAAAAAAAATACATTTAGAATACGCCTGACAGGACGCGTGTTGAAACGCATTGACAACACGCCTGATAAGGTGCGTATTAAAATGCCTATGCGACATGTCTGGTTGAACGCGTGTTGAAAACCGTTTGTGCAACACGCCTGGTAGACTTGTGAACAGTGGTTACAGTGGCGCAGGGAGGCGAGGGTTCGATTCCAGCTCTGTGCGCCAGTTTCTGGTCAGAATTGGCAATGAGGCCGGGCGGTTAAACAATGAAAAAAAATACGCAGTGAGTTGCGCGTTCGAGACTGCAACAGGCTGTGAATATTCTGCGATGTTAAGAATCGTAGACAGGCCTACGGCCTAATAAACGCTGAATCCGCTATTATTATTACTACGTTTTTCTTAGCTCGCTTTCGTGTCTGTGATGATCAAATCTTGCAATCGATATTTCACCAACTTTCCCATTAGCTAGCGCTCTGAAACTTTTAGGGAAGCTCAGCTCCCGATAACAATACAGTTATCAATAATTTGTTGCACGTTTCCAGGCGTATATACTATATATAGTTTATATATAGTAAGACGTGCGGCCGCTCACGTTATAGACGAGCAGTCGCTGACGTTGCGTATCATCGATACGTACGTCAAGTTAAGTAAATTGGCTCGCAACAACGTTTTTCATTTGTAACAACGGACTAAAAAGTAGAAAATAAAATACATAAAATAACTTTTTTAAAAAACTACGTTTTTTTCTTGTGGACTAGAAAGTAGAATATAAATTATGGCCCGCCCCAAAAAACGTGTGTCGGGCTGTACGTTCACCATCAAATTTCCAAAATTCGTGTGTTGTGTGCTTTTCGCTTCAATCATAAATCTGCCCGACACACGTTTTTTGGGGCGAGCCATAATTTATATTCTACTTTCTAGTCCACAAGAAAAAAACGTAGTTTTTTAAAAAAGTTATTTTATGTATTTTATTATTTAGCAGGGTGGCTTATAATATACTTTCATAATTAAGCAGGGTGGCCCAGTAGTTAAAGATCAGAGTACCAAGATTGGCGCAGGGAGGCGAGGGTTCGATCCCTGCTCTGTGCGCCAGTTTCTGGTCAGAATCGGCGAGGAGGCCGGGCGGTTAAGCACAGCAGAATTGAAGCAGTGAGTTGCAAGTGCGAGACCGCAAAATGCTGTGGATGTTCTGCGATGTTAAGAATCGGCGATGAGCATAAGGTCTCATAAAAGACGTAATAAAAGGAAACCGTTATTATTAATATTATTATAATATGCCAATTAGACGCACCTTCAAACGCCTGTAAAGCACGCCTCAGCATTCACACTTGCTAACTACCAAGTGTGAATGCTGAGAATTCTTTCTTGCGATTACACTCACTAATCGCAAATTTTATTTACTAATTATTTTCTTTTTTCGCACAAGTAATACTCGTAATTGAGTTACGAACAAAGTTAATCGGGACATATACATGAATTGCAACAAGAAACTTGATAGAATCAAAGTTAGTTTGCATATATCCGATCAAATTATTAGTTTTAAACCTCCTCTTAGAAAATTACGAACATTGCAAGAAGCGGCGACGGACAACACCTACCTAATCAACATTAGTGCTGTTATTCTACACTAAGTAAATGAGTTTAATTTGGTCCGCTACAATTTCCGGACTCCCGTACGCATGGTTCGGCGTTATTTTTCGCTGCAGAAGCTTTGTTGGTCAGAAGTCTTCTGAGTTCCAGTTGCCGAAATCGTAGATTCTTCATTATTTGATTTCTTTTTATAGGAGCACTGGAAGTGGTAACTGGTCCATGCAGCCCCTTGCCTAAACAGGGTTTAATTTGTGCCTAATAAACCACTAGCTATCTGAAAATATGCAAACCTAAAAAAAAAGAAAGATTGGACTGGAAAGTCAGTAGCGTTTACACTTCACGGCGACGGTTAAACCGTGCTGGCAGCCTGGCACGTGTCATTTGAGCTCTTTAAAAAAAAAACAGTGAATTTATTTTCGTAGGATTGGCATTTGCCTTTTCTTAATATAATAATTAGTCAAGTTTGATGATTTTGATCCATTATAATTATAAACACAAATGGCTGCAACGAAAAAAAATTGCAAAGAACACATGAAACAGAAAGGAATATTTCAGTGACAACTATCATATTTTTGGGAGAAATAAATCAAAGTTTAGTTCAATTAGTACTTTTCATTCTATGTTGCTTGGTGTACAATTCTATCTACAACAATAGGGCTAACAACATTCTATGCAGAATGTTGTGAATCTTGTGATGACTGATGATCAGATGATGCATTAATTTTTTTTTAACCCTTTAGCGGGCAAGCATTGAAATATCCAGAAATTAAAATTTCAGAAACCATTTCAAGAAAGTAAGAAGCATTATACAATATATTTATTTCTATGAATTTTTGCGAATTTTGCCTATTGAAGTTTAAAGCGCACTTGAAGAATTCAATAAATGCAATCAGTACACAAAATTTTTCTTTATAATTAAAATTCAGTTTATGCAAATGAAAAATTAGAAACATAAAAATTTAATTTAATTAAATTTAATCAAGTTGCCAAAATAAATAAACATAGGGTAAACGCGGTATATTCCGACATCGTAGTTAATTCCGTCACTTCTCTAGTTTATCCTTTATATTTAGCTTTGTTTTAGTTCCATGCGTTCATTGATGGTTGAAATGGTGACGTCATACATTTGCGTGTCGCTAGGTCTTAGCCATCTAGTGGGAAAATATTGAGATCCAAAGAGAGAAAATGCATGCCACGTGGTGAGATCATCGAAAAATGTGTCAAATTTGACAGTTGACATGGCTCTACCAAATAGTGAATAACTGTTTTTATAGGAAGAATATTATGGTTTGAGACTTTTAAATACGTCTGTGAATATATTAGGAATCCTTTAAGTATACTTGTATTTGCTGATTTCAAGTCGTAAATAAATTAATAGATGATTAAGTTGAGATGTTGGATTTCGACACATGAAAACTAATTCCGACACAACTTGAATTGGACACACACAGATCGTTCAAAGCTTTGTACAAAAATTGAAATTAACCAAATTAAAAGCCTAATAGCTGTTAATTAAAACGTAATTAAGTAGTGTTCAATATTCGTTCAATATTCCATAACATAAATCTCATTTTTAAGCCAACACCTGTTTGCAACTTCTTTGCAAGTGAAATTTTTTAATATGGCTAATATTTATTTTGCCACAGTTTTACGGATTTAAGCAGCGCCTCAGCGGTACTGCGGTATTTTTTAAAAATCTCGCTTTTCATACTTTTTTTCAGGGATTTTCTTAGAGGCAGTAAATATATGATTTCTTAATTTGCTTTATGATACATTGATGGCAAAAATGTTGAACCTTATGCTAGGTGCTATTTTTAGTTTTGCAATATTTTGTTTAGTTTTGCTGCTGCAACATTTTTACAAATTACAAAATGTGGGCAGTGGGATGGGATGACTGTCCCTGATTTACCCCACCTGTCTCTTATTACCCCCATTTGACTGTGCCCTCATGAAGTCATGATAGCAACATTATAATGAAATTTTCAAAATTCTAATCAACTTCTATTGCCTATAAAATAATTACTTGATGTAAATTTATTCTTTCTTTATCAGATTACTTTAGAGTCTAAATAATCATTAATTTATTTATTGTTGTGTAGTCATGTCGCTGCGCCTAGCACCATTAAGCAACACCGAGCGGGAGGCTGTGATAGCCTCTTTGGTGGCTGGAGTAAGGCTGGATGGCAGAGGACTGCTAGAGAATAGAGAAGTTTCCATACAATTTGGGAAAGATTTTGGCACATGTACTGTATCTCTGGGAGAAACGCGGGTGTTGGCAAAGGTAAGGTCTTTTAAAAATTAAAAAGTCCAGCCTATTGTTAGTATTGTTTTTAATGTTAGTTTATTGTTATGTATCCTGTCATATTAATTTAATTTTCACTTAAATCTCCATTTTGTGCTTGGATATAGGTATAAATATTAAGTAGGAGAGTATGTATATACATACATTTATGCTAACATGGATGTATCACATATGCTAACCTACAAGCAATATTCTTTTAATAAACATTTATCATACATACTCAAATACATGTATCCTAAATTCCCTCGTGATATTCCTACATGTTTACAAGCATAATAGTGACCAGAAAACATAAAATATGCCACTTCATGAGACAAATTTATCAGGTGTCATGTGAGGTGGTGGAGCCGCGCCCCTCTCGCCCCAATGAAGGCAAGATCCTCACCAGCGTTCACATCACCCCCATGGCTGGGCCCGAGTATGAGGCTGGACGCACCAATGATGCTCAGGTCTACCATCATTTCATCATGGGTCTATTTTAAATGAATATCTATAATTTTTTTGACACATTGAGTTTTATAATATTATAAATTTTCATCATGGGTCTATTTAAAATGAATATCTATCATTTTTTGTCACATTGAGTTTTATAATATTGTAAATTTTCATCATGGGTCTATTTAAAATGAATATCTATAATTTTTTGACACATTGAGTTTTATAATATTATAAATTTTTATCATGGGTCTATTTAAAATGAATATCTATAATTTATTCACACATTGAGTTTTATCATATTATAAATTGATTAACTTATGTACTGTGCTTATCAATACCACAGTCTGCATTATTATTAATGGTGTTGAAATTGTTTATAGGTATTTGTGTGCAATATTTATTTCTTAATATTTTGTATGATGTTTATGAATCATAATTAACATTATGATGATGATTGCTTAGGGCCCATTAATGTGCTGTCAGGATGCATTTTTCTATTAATGATTGCATATTTAATTAAGATACATTTGTAGAGATGAGTTGATGGTTGTTTCTTTGTATCACTGCAGTGTCAATATTTGGAGTTTCACATGAATATATCATTTTCCTGTCCTTTCCTAATGTGTTACATTTATTTATCTTGAAGTATTTTGAAATTAATAGCTGTATTATGTTAGGGAAGGAACAAAAATGTCAAAAATAATAATATCTTGAAAATATATAAATATATCATGTACATACCATGTTTAATGCTAGAGAAATCCAAACTTTTTGATATTTTTAGCGCATTTTCTCATTTATGAAAAAATGCACTATTGTGCTCACCTTGTCCATCTGTCTGTCCGTCCGTCCGTGACTTCACGTTTTCGTCGACGAGAAAATGCGCTCTCTGTCACTCACTGCAGTGAGTACTATATTTTTTGGATGTTGCTTAATACATTTTGAATGTTTCAGGATGAACTTCAGCAGCTCCTGGACAGCAACATCAAAGAGAGCAGATGTTTGGATGTTGAGGCTCTCTGCATCATGGCAGAGGAGAGCGTCTGGCAGCTGCGGGTTGATGTTACGGTGAGATTTTGTATGTGTTGTGTGGTGTGTTGAATGTTGCTGTATGTTGATGTTATGGTGATATGTTGTGTGGTGTGCTGAATGTTGCTGTGTGTTGATGTTGTGGTGATATGTTGTGTGGTGTGCTGAATGTTGCTGTGTGTTGATGTTGCTGAGATGGTAAAAATTTGCTGGCAAATATTAATTATTAAGTACTTATGAGTCATGTAGCAGTTAATAACATTTGATAATTTATGAGAGTATAGATAATATATACCTAACGGTAGGTAGTGCTGGGATTCGATTAAATGGATATTGGTTAATCGGCTGTAATTTTAACATATTATTTTACTGCTTTTGATGTTGAGAACAGATTTGAAATTGCAAAGAATTGCCATTTATTTTATTTTTAGTGACTTAATAATGAGGAATTTGCTCATCTGTTCTACTAAATTCCTGGCCTAATTTAAAGAAATTTTTCCACTGAATTTAATCTATCAGTTATTTTTAGCATGAAAACTTGTTAATTTTTCACTATTTATGTATTTTTTTTTCTTTAAAATTTCAAATGTAACTTTTCCTTTTCATCAAACTATATATTTTGTAGTTTGTTGAATCAGTGCCATCACTGGTGTGTTGAATTAATATGATCAACTACCGCATGAACTATTGCTGCTACTTTAACACTACTTTATAGTAGTTCTATTGTTCAGAGCAGTAATGAAGGACTAATAATTTGATAGTCCTATCTTATTATAGTTTTAAATATGCTGATTGATTGAATGTATTTTAAACACTTTATTTTTGTCAGTTAATCAAGTTGATGTATTCAAATGCTTCATTTTTGTCAACTGATTAACACTTTGACTCCGACTGCTTCATCTTGTACTATTATTTCATTTTTTATACCGTTTTCAAAAAGGGCCAGACGGTCATTTTTTCCGGACAAATTCCGTGATTTAGTTTTTCTCAATTTTTGTTGGCCGGCTAAAATTTATGATAGGGGTGCTTCCTAATTAAATTTTAAATACCGCAAAAAGAAAATAAATGGAATTTTTATAGCGAAACCTACAAATAAACTAGTATATATTGAGTTATTGTCTTTTTTGGCCTTTTTTGTTCTCGGATTATTTGGCCGATTTTAGGCAACCTGAATTCTGTACCACTAGGTACGTCCTGGAGAAATACATTTCGTGGTACGCATATGTAGGTACCACTTCGGAGTCAACGTGTTAAGTTGATGTATTTTAAACGCTTTATTTTTGTTGATGTATTTAAATGCTTTATTTTTGTCAGCTGATTAAGTTTATGTATTTAAACGCTTTATTTTTATCAGGTGTTGAATGCACGTGGCAACCTCGGCGACGCGTGTAACATGGCGGCCGTGGCGGCGCTCAAGCATTTCCATAGACCTGATGTTACTGTCCAGGTGATGTTACTTGTGATGTTACTGCTCAGGTGATGTTACTTGTGATGTTACTGCTCAGGTGATGTTACTGTCCAGGTGATGTTACTTGTGATGTTACTGTCCAGGTGATGTTACTGTCCAGGTGATGTTACTTGTGATGTTACTTGTGATGATACTTGTGATGATAAGGGATGTTACTGTCCAGGTGATGTTACTTGTGATGATACTTGTGATGATACTTGTGATGATACTTGTGATGATACTTGTGATGATAAGGGATGTTACTGTCCAGGTGATGTTACTTGTGATGATACTTGTGATGATAAGTGATGTTACTGTCCAGGTGATGTTACTTGTGATGATAAGTGATGTTACTGCCCAGGTCATGATACTTGCTGCCAGTGTCTAAGTCATGATACCCTTGTTACCATGACACATGGCGAGTAGCATGTATGGCTAGTATGTATACAATATCGAATATATGCAATACAATTGTATTGTATATATACAATATAGCATATATACAATATCGCAGTCCTATTAACCTTCATATAAGTTAAGGGACAAATAATAACGGTCGTTTTGACTGCCGCTATTAAATTTACCGCAGAAGGAAGCAACGATAAAAATTATGTGATCTCAGGAGAAGACATTTACAAGAGATAAAAAACACTAAATTATTGATTGTAATGTTGCCTTAATACTGAATTTTAATAATTTTAATAATATATACTGTAATTAGTAAATAATTTAATAATAAATAATATAATGATAAATGAATAAAAATAAATAATTGTTAACAATATTAATTATTATTGCAGGAGGACGGGCGCGTGACGATACACAACTTCACAGAGCGGGCGCCCGTGCCGACGTTCCTGAAGAAGATGCCCGTGTGCCTGACGTACGCCTTCTGTGCGCAGCCTGACGAGGAGCTCGTGGTCTTCTCAGACCCTACAGACCTCGAGGAGAGGGTCTGCTTTGTGGTCTTGCTTATAATAATGCTTACTTCCAGAGCTTGTGGTCTTCTCAGACCCTACAGACCTCGAGGAGAGGGTCTGCTTTGTGGTCTTGTTTATAATAATGCTTACGTCCAGAGCTCGTGGTCTTCTCTGACCCTACAGACCTCGAGGAGAGGGTCTGCTTTGTGGTCTTGTTTATAATAATGCTTACCTCCAGAGCTCGTGGTCTTCTCAGACCCTACAGACCTCGAGGAGAGGGTCTGCTTTGTGTTCTTGTTTATAATAATGTTCACCTCAGCCCTGCATTTGGTTGTTGTGGTTGTTAATCTTCTTGATTTTGTTCTTTTTTTTTCTTGTTATTTTTTGGTTGATATGTTTTTTCTAGTTATCTTCATGTTTTTCCTGTCGTAAATTTTCTCGCTCTTCCTGCTTTTTTATAAGGCTTTTTTATTTATACATTTCCATTTTTGATCTCCTTTCTCTTATTTTTTGATGTTGTTGGCCTTCTTACATTTGCTGTTCTTCATATTGCTTATTTGTTTTTGTATACTTTCTTGTAATTAGTGATATTCTTGTTCTTCCTGTTTTCCTTGTCCTTGTTTCATCTCCATTGATTTTCACCTTGTTGCTGTTGATGTTATTGATGTTGATGTTATTGATGTTGGTGTTGTCGATGTTGATGTCGTTGATGTTGTTATTGTTACGGCTTCGCTTATAACGCCTAATTTGTCGATGCTTGGCCAGCAACGTGTCTTAATATATCTGATTAAATATCATTGAGGCTATAAAGTTAAATCGTGCATTTCGGAAGGTATGATTACAAGTTACAATGCTTGGTCTTATCGTGTTTCTGGTGTGGTGGTATATATGTACGATACTGCTTTCTTGTGTGTATAATATAGTGTTCTAATATGGTAGTCGATATAATGATGATCACTTCAAACTTTAAGCTATTTCTATTTTATTAAATTTATACTGTGGCAGTTATTATTCCTTACAAAGTATTTCTGATCCCTTAAGCCACAGTTTAAGTTCTAGCCGTTTCTTAATAAAGATATTTTGGGATGTTATGCATGTAGTTATTTATAGGATTGCAGAACCACAAATCAATATCGTGGCTTTTGGCCTATGAAATTTATTTCCACATTTTTTCTAGAGCCATTTTCACTTGATTATTTTACTAGAAATATAATCGTCTTTTCAGCGCATTTTCTCATTTATGGAAAAAAGGCGCTATTGTGCTCGCCATGTCCGTCCGTCCGTCCGGGACTTCACGTACGGACGGACGAGAAAATGCGCTCTCTGTCACTCACTGCAGTGAGTACTGATCTAATTTTTTTATTCACACACAATTTATGTTTGCAGGTTGTCCTCGGCAGACTCGTTGTAGGCCTCAACCCGCATGGAGAAATTACTTCCATGAATTTCCCTGGTCTCGTTATGCTCGAGAAAAAACACATTCGCTTTTGCATCTCTAACGCGTTTCAACGCGCGCGCCAATGTGCTCAGCTACTCGAGAAATTAGTGAACGAGGACCTGGAACGTCGGAAATCTGGTGTTATGTCTCGAGGATTTGTGGGACAATTGAAATCGGATGAAATTATCCAACGGGAGTTGGTCGAAGCAAAAATTTCTGCTATGGATGTCATGTCTGATAAGCTACGACAAATGCGAGCCATGATGGATAACGTGGACATTAAACCTGATTTAGACGAGTTACCCTCGGACGATGAAAATGATGATGAAAGTAAGTATGACTCTAGTGACAGTGAATTTGGTGACGCGCCTACGAAATTAATACCAAAAAATAATGGAAAGGATCGCACTTCTGTGTCAAGTAATGGCAAGTTAGATAATTCTAAGTCCAGCGACACTGAAGCGACATCAAAGTCTAGTAAATCAAACAAAAATAAATCAAAGAGGAACTCCAAGGAAAAACAGGCAGTAGTTGACAGTGACAGTGAAGAGGATGTCAAAACCAATATTGATTTTGGGATTCTTTAATAAGAGAAGAATGAGGCAGGAGTTGGAAAAGTAATAAAGATTCACGATAAACTCTGTCTTTTAATGGCTCCTTAAATGGCTTATTCACAAAACCATAGAAAATCATTCATTCTTTGGCATTTACTATAAAAATCTCATCTCTTTAAACGGGTCTTAGCTTGCGAATACTCAAGCATTCTATTTTCAATGCTGCCTTGTATCTCTTGAAGTAAACTAGAGTTCATTTGTATTAACTATAACACTCATACTATGGCTCTGATTATTTCGCACATTTTTAGAATCGATTTGCGCGTTTCTAAAATCCCGGAATTTGAAGCAATTTATTCCGACAAGAATAATGCAGGTTAGGTTTGAAAGTTATGGTGTGAAGTTGCTCCATCAATTTTCTGGCTTCCTCCTATGAGCGGCCTGTTTATTTAATGGCCACATGTTCACCAGCGCTTCAGCTATTATGCTATCTCGAAGTTCAACTCAATGCTTAAAAGCACCAATGAGGTGGTGGGTGTCGCGAATTTCGTTCATTACCCATAAGAGACGGAAGGTCTCCAGGCCGCTGAAGTTTGCTAGAAGGAAACAGCGTTAACATCTCAAAGAGACGAAGTGACAATGAGGGACGTGTGATCAGCAACAAAAACAAATATTCTCGTACATAAGGTTTCCTACATGAGAAAGACAGGGAAGGGAAATGTAGGAAGTCCTGCCTATATAATAGCTCACCACAACTGAGATCCACGGTCAGACACCGCAAGTTCTGTGGGGAATGATGCGCCGAGAAACGCGGAATCCCATAGGACTTCTGACGAGCACTGACACGCGTCGGAAGACCCTCAGGTTTCAGCGTTTGTTAGGCCGTAGGCCTGACGCCGATTCTTAACGTTGCAGAACAAGAACATCCACAGCTTGTTGCTGGCTTGAACTAGCAAGGTTCTGTCTCATTTCCTCGCCTCATGAGAGGAAATGAGCTGCCGGTAAATACGTATAACTTGTGGGAGGATACAAAATTAAAATCATGACAAGGGGAATTACGAAAGTTGCAGAGTGTTTGAGTGAAGCTTTGATTCAATGTTTTCTGAAACTCCTTAAGATAGATTGCACAGCACATGATCGCATGATAACTGGCAATACAATTTTCGGAAAAGTAGCGAGATAATATTATGTAATTCAACAAATTTAAAAGAAAGTTAATTTTTTTCGCACGTCAATAGACACGTTGTTCAAACGACTTACGTCATAGAGCTCATGAAACGAAAAGTAATGGTTTTTATCAATAGCTTACTGTTACAATAAGGGATGAAAATTATTTAAAAAATACGAAGCCAATATAAAACTTATCCTAAAGCCTAAAATACACCTCCAGACGAAGAAGAAGCTCATAAGTTTTTTCAAATCACGAGACGGAGTAACGACTGACGGTTTTCAGCTGTCCAGTGTTGCAATAGATGCAGTGCAAGGGTGCGTTAGTTAGGGCAGTGTACCTGGCGCAACGTTGATTAGTGTTGTTAGCTGCTTGCGGTTGTATGTAGTACCCGACTGTTTACGAACTAATTGCTGCATCCGGGTGTAACGTTCGACATAATTGAGTGTTGAACTGAAGAAATTGCCGACAGATATATTCCAAATACCGTTTAACATCATTACGTAAGTTTATCGCTGTAAATAGTGAGCTAGATATGCCCTAATAATACTCCAATACTGTGGACTGTGGTTTGTTCGAAATTAATTTGTAACTCTATTACAATTTTTCTAGTGACTTTCTTCGTATGGAAATTATAACTCCTGTAATCTATATTGAAAAAAAAAACAATACAAAAGTTATTATAAACTTCCGTGCTTTGAAAATTAAGTCTTGAACGTTCTTAATTTGTGACAATTTGTACAGCTTCCATTAATGCCCACCGGCGCTGCCCAACGCAACTGTTGTCTCGGCATGCGAGGTTGCGAAACAAGTGCAGTGCCAACCTAACTCAACTGTCCGTAGCTCTCGTTGCCCTCCTTTAGTTTAGGAACGTATAGTACCATTGGCTGAGACCTGAGAGTAATGTATTGTAAATTGCTTAAATGGTAAGAGGAAATCGTATCTATTGCCTAATTGTGTCTCTATTGTTAGCTTTGCACTGAATATTTAACACTCAATGTCAATGTAAACGAATGAAAAAGACTAGAAATTGAGGCCTCAAACAGTGCCATTGCGGCATTGAACATTTTTTGGCATATTTCTTTTGAAGTTTTTAAAAGATTCTATTCAAATTATTCACTCGCTGGTTTCTAGAAAATATATGGAATAGACGATTTGAAAAAATTATATTCGTAGTATGTTTTCCATTGAACGATGAACTATCATGTTGAATTGTTGATCGAACGTACTCGTGATTTGATACACGATCCACATGTAACATGAGCGGCGATTCCCGGCGAACAACCAACGTGCTGCTTATATGACGTGACAATCAACTTTAAAACTTATTATTAAATTACTAAAGCTGCACCAATTAAATTTCCGAACTCACTGAAATGGAAAAAATACGTATACCATGATTTATTGACGGAGATATTCATTCGAAGATTTTAATCGCTCACATAGTAGAAAATTTACGTTGTCAATGTGTGCGATTCTACGTTACGTTATCCCCTAATACTAAATCATGAATTTGCGTTACTCTGACATTTTTGAATGTCAATGTTAACAATTAGCTTCACTTTTTTTAGTTGGATTAATTTTAACATTAAAAAATTAAGCCTAATCTCTAGGTTTAAGTAGTTATGCAGCATTTAGGTTTGAGTTAGGTTACAATATTGACGAAAGTAATGATCAAGATTAAGCAATTGCAGCTAATGCGTTTGGTAGACGGTGGCAGAGTTGCACGCTGCGGTCGATACGTAGCTTCGGCAAGAATTTATTGATTGAGAGAAAACACCACTACACTGTACCTGAGACTAGCATGTAAACTGACACTGCACCTGAGACTAGCATGTATACTGACACTGCACCTGAGACTAGCATGTATACTGACCCTGCACCTGAGACTAGCATGTATACTGATGCACTGCACCTGAGACTAGCATGTATACTGACACGCTGCACCTGAGACTAGCATGTATACTGACACTGCACCTAAGACTAGCATGTATACTGACACTCTGCACCTGCGACTAGCATGTATACTGACACTGCACCTAAGACTAGCATGTATACTGACACTCTGCACCTGCGACTAGCATGTATACTGACACACTGCACCTGAGACTAGCATGTATTCTGACGCACTGCACCTGAGACTAGCATGTATACTGACACGCTGCACCTGCGACTAGCATGTATACTGACACGCTGCACCTGAGACTAGCATGTATACTGACGCACTGCACCTGCGACTAGCATGTATACTGACACACTGCACCTGAGACTAGCATGTATTCTGACGCACTGCACCTGAGACTAGCATGTATACTGACACACTGCACCTGAGACTAGCATGTATACTGACACTGCACCTGAGACTAGCATGTATACTGACGCACTGCACCTGCGACTAGCATGTATACTGACGCACTGCACCTGCGACTAGCATGTATACTGACACACTGCACCTGAGACTAGCATGTACACTGACACGCTGGGGAGTAGCATGTATGCTAAAATTTTATTCATTTCTCCTATGCTTACAATGTTTACCGATGCATATTAAAGTGAACAGAAATTAATTTTTCGTTGTTTAAATATTTTACATCTTTTTCTTTCAATATTTTCAAGTCCATCAACAGGAATGCAAAAATTTTGAATCGAGTGTGAAATTTCAAAAGTGTTCACGTTAAAACGGCACGTGAATTGAATCCTGTCAACAAATAATAACACTTTGACCTTAATAACATCACGAAGTACACTCCATAAAAGCATTGGCATTTGACAAATATTTGTTGAAATACTTATTGTTTAGTTGGCTTATTTCGGCCGCTGTATTCCAGATCACGAAGCTCTTGGCTGTCCATACTCCTCCACAGCATTGCTGCTCAGTGCGCGTCGGGATGCGGGGGAGAGCGTTGTCCGTAGAGTTTCGCTCCCGTGCCATCAATTCCGTCGTACGTTTAATCTTCTGGTTTCTCCGTAAAGAAGAATCAATCACTGTGCATTATGGTTTTGTAATACAAATTGAGTGTTTGTATGATGCAATAAACAAAAGTTACCAATGTGTTTTTGATGACACCAAAATATCTTCGGAAAAGACTCGGTCTGTCCGGCACTCGAAGTGACGGTTTTGCTGCCGTGCTTCGCTTGGACATTTTTTTCAAAACTCATCTTTGTCTTTTCGCGTACTTGTGCTTATTTTATTCAGAACATCAAATATGTAGATAAAAGTGTGGTTTATTCTCACGATAAAAAGAGTGATGGGACGACAGGTGATGTTATTTTAGGAGCTCTAGTTGCCATGAGAAGATAAGTCAATACGCTGCTCTCTATAGGTCACGCGTGCCGGGCTGTGGGTGTCGTGCGCTAGCAACACGCGGCAGTGAAAACCCCGGTGATATATTAAAAAAATATAACTCAGTACTCACTGCAGTGAGTGACAGAGAGCGCATTTTATCGTCGACGAAAACGTGAAGTCACGGACGGACGGACATGGCGAGCACAATAGTGCATTTTTTCCATAAATGAGAAAATGCGCTAAAAAGTGCATTACAGTACATTGATAGTTTGCGATGATGGTGTCGGATGATGGTTTTAACGCAAGATGGTTCTGAGATACGATGGTTCTGAGGTACGATGGTTCTGAGGTACGATGGTTCTAAGATACGATGGTAGGTTATAGTGAGATACGATGGTAGGTAGTGAGATACGATGGTGGTGAGATACGATGCTTCTGAGATGCGATGGCTCTGAGATACGATGGTTCTGAGATAAGATGTTGAGACACGATAGTTCTGAGATACGATGGTTCCTAGATACGATGGTTCCCAGTACCTGAAGCTAAGCTCGTATAACGGTACCGGGATGCACGGTATTCCCCATACGCCAGTCGATCGGGAATGGGAATGGCAGCCTCATGGCGCCCTCGACGCTCATGGGAATTGGCGGAAAGTGTAATTCCAGTAATCGATTTGTCGTTCATGATTGGCAGTAAGTGCCTGGAATGAGAATGGGTAAATAGGGACCAATTGGTAGGTTGCTTCGGTTTTTTCTTTATTCTACTTTTTCTTCAGCTTTATCTTTCATGTAACTCTCTGTCATCGTACTGATACCTTATCTTAATGTTTTTTAATTAATATAGTACATCGTACCTTCAAGTATATGTCTGTTAAATAGTACGAATCCTATTTTATCGCACTAGTCTTTCTTCATTAGAGCGCTAGTATCCTAGTCAGTGTTTCGGCATATCCAAACCACTTATATATCCTCGACGTCAAAGTGAGATAGTTCACAATTTGAAGAAATTTTACGGACGTTTCATATTAATTATTGTCAACTTGATCAGTTACTTGTGATTCGCATTTTCATATTTTTCTAAATTATTCATTTCCATGTGCAGAATTATGTTAGGCTAGACCAAACATGATCAAATGAAGGCCAGGCTGTAATCTAATAAGGTGAAGTTTTATACCGGCCATATTTTAGGTAGTAGTTTATATAATAAAAATCATGAAAATAATTGAAGCGGTGAAAGACAATCCTATAACTGAAGCTCAACATTTTATGTGATCCAATTCACGTTATTTATTATCAACCAATTTAGGATTGATGAAGTTTAAGTCTTGAAAATCCTCGCAATAAAATAAATTTAATATAATAGATGAAGAATCATCGTGCGAATGCAATATATTCTTGTAAATCAACTGGAGATGGTGGCAAATCTAATCCAACCTATGTGCCTAAATCTAACCGTATACAACCATAAGAAAAGATGACATCCCGCCCGATGAACACCGGTATTGAAGGAATAAATTCAACGAATAGTCACGATGGTTTACTGAACAGTGACGGTGATCTCGTTGTGTCTAATGACAAGAGTGAACCTGAGAACATCTATGAGGATATGACACCAAGTTCACAGGGGCCCGAGCGACCAGATCTGACGAGCAAAGTGCGGAAACATGGAGTTGCATCTTTTGAATCCTCTGGTAAACCTACGCGTGGGGAATTTGCACCCAGTGCCGTTAATGGGGATAACGACGGTGAACAAGCCGAATCTGAACTCATATCGAAAGATATGAAAATGAAATCTTATCCATCGCGCGAGAAACGCGAATCATCTTCTTCCTTGCTAGACAGTATTGACTTGGAAGCCATAAAGAAATCTGGAAACGAAGTTTTATCCCATGTGGTCGAAGGAATCATTAGTTCTTGTGAGCCTATGGATGACCTAAGTGGTGATCCACTGTCCAATTCGATGATAGTTGGCACTTCGCCAGGTTTAGCCGCCACTAACCTGGAAACCATCCGAGAGGGAGAAGTACTCGACATACCCGAAGACTCTACCATCCCCTTGAGCTCTTCGCCACCAGCCACGGTGTCGCCTGCCGTGGGCGGAGCTTCGTTCTTCTTCAGTGACAACATCGTGAGTACACAGTTTTTTATTTATTTATATTTAGATTGAATGTTGATCATGTGTTATCCAATGTTATTCGCAATAATTCGTGAGCTAAAATTATTACGATTTTCGAAAAAATTGTGCATTTTTAAATGAAATTGAGGACTTTAATAAAATGAATTTAATAAAAGGGTTTAATAAAATGAATGTGCAGTCATTTTATTACGAGAGATCATACAACATATTACTATAACGACGTAACTGATGGTGGCGATGGTTGAAAATTTAATTCGTTGAACTTGCTTGGGGTTTAGCAATCATGCTCCAGCAGTTGAATTAAGTTGATTCGAAAGTAAAGCTTGCAAGTAGATTTCCTCATCAAAATTAGTAGCAGTAAGCTAAGAAGTCAAGACAGAAAAACGGAAAACTCTGGTCCGCAAATATGATACGAAAGCGATTTACATACATACCAAAAATGTGAATCTGCTTAAAAGAATGTAAATACCATATATTATCAGATGGTGTTTACTGATTAGCATGCCTCGAGCGTGGCTGGCTTGGCAACCGCGTGAGGCGTACGTAAACTGAATCCAAATTTTATTTTGAAAGCTGTACCTACCCTAATTAAGCAGAAAACAATCTGACACAACAATAAAATTGTTTATTGTTTATACAATATGAAACCTTGTCGGACTGCATAGGCAGGACTGGATATGATTGTAACGTTGTAAATTTGTGCAGCCTGACCAAGATTGAGCCTCAAGCAGATGAATTTTCAAAGCATATTTGAATATTAATTAAACTTGTCGCAATAGGCCATGAAAATGTCTCATTGATTTTGCTCAGAACGATCGCGATTTTACCCGCGGGCCCATGGTGAAAAAAATATAACTCAATACTCACTGCGGTGACTGACAGAGAGCGCATTTTCTCGTTGCCTATAGTATCATGGATAGTATAGGCAACGTGAAGTCACAGACGGACGGACGGACGGACAGACAGACAGACAGACGGAGGGATGGACTTACGGACAGACAGACAGACGGACGGATGGACTTACGGACGAATGGACTTACGGACGAATGGACTTACGGACGAATGGACTTACGGACGGATGGACTTACGGACGGACGGACAGACGGACGTACGGACGGATGGACCGAAGGACATGACGAGCACAATAGCGCCTTTTTTCCATAAATGAGATATGCATGCGCTGAAAACTCCGAGCGAGCTGCGTCACTTTAATGTATAATTGAGAGATACAAATTGTTTATGGTATTTCTACACCTGAGGACCATATACCCATAGATTTACATTTTTTTAAGCGAGTTCTCTAAATAATTTATCTGAACGTCAACGCGTAAATATTTTCTGTTTCAAAATATTCTACATTTTTTTCTCTTGATAGATTTATCTACCGAATTTTATTTTGGGCCTCATATATGTATATTTTACACGATATTTCAGCTCCTATTTCTCTATTCAATAGAATTTGAGGCATTAAAGCATTTTAGATGAGATGACTATAGATCGAGTTAAGCCGCTAAGTTAACTGCTTTGCCTTATTTCATTGCCCTGCAAGGCCTTATTTTCGTATAGTTATATTTTCTGACGAAACTGTTTAAGCTCATTTTCGTGTATTTGGCTACGAACGAACGCATATCAGTTTTTTTTCTTTTTCTCACCTGAATTTATTTATTTTATCGAATATTTTACAATTTTCTCATATATTTACCAATTTCATCACCTGAATTTACCCATTTTCTCACCTAAATTTCCAAATTTTCTCGCCTGATTTCACCGATTTTTTTCCCCTGATTTATCAGATTTTTTGCTTGATTCACCAATTTCCTCGCCTGATTCACCAATTTCCTTGCCTGACTCACCAATTTTTTCACCTGATTCGCCAATTTTCTCGCCTGATTACTCGCCTGATTCACCGATTTTCTTGCCTCATTCACCAATTTTCTCCCCTGACTCACCAACTTTCTCGCCTGATTCACCAATTTCCTCGCCTATATATAATTCACCAATTTTCTCGCCTGACTCATCAATTGTCTCGCCTGACTCACCAATTGTCTCGCCTGACTCACCAATTGTCTCGCCTGACTCACCAATTGTCTCGCCTGACTCACCAATTGTCTCGCCTGACTCACCAATTGCCTCGCCTAACTCACCAATTTTCTCGCCTGACTCACCAATTTTCTCGCCTGACTCGCCAATTTTCTCGCCAATTTTTTCGCCTGACTCACCAATTTTCTCGCCTGACTCACCAATTTCCTCGCCTGATTTACCGATTTTCTCGCCTGCTTTGCCAATTTGAAGCTCGTTGACGAAGCGTATTGAAGCCTCGTCAAGCTGTGTACCAAACACCAACAGTTTCTTGATAGGCTTCTGTTTTGTATCGCAATACAATATTTATAATATAACACAATGTACAGTACTTAGGTATATATAATACAACGTACAATATTGCGGAACCTTTTCTCAGCTTACGCGAATATTGCACGGACATAATTGAGATGCCTTTATTTTAGACTGTGTTATTGTTTAATATGATATCTTTATTGTTGACTGTTATTGTTTAATATGATAGGTACCTTTATTGTTGACTGTGTTATTGTTTAATATGATATCTTTATTGTTGACTGTGTTATTGTTTAATATGATATCTTTATTGTTCTCGTGTCCTGCTTGCCACGACACGCTCACCTTCATTGTTCAGCTTCTGAGAACTTTAACTCTCCTATATTGTATGGTGAATGACCTGAGTCATGAATGACTGTGAATACATGCGTGCATGAATGAGCCTCGAATAAACGCTGAGATGCAGGTTTTTAAATAAATGTATATGGACAGCTTTTTTAATAAAAATGTATTATTCTCACAGCTATCATATGTTTTATTACACGTGATTATTCAAGATTTTTGCCTGATATCGAAGTATCCGTTCGAAAAACGTTTTTATACACAATGTACGTCAAGTTTTTATCTAAGGAGTACCTGATTCATTTTCTTCGTTGCTTTATTTGGTGAGCATCAGTGAAAGATGAATAAATAAGCAATAAAATATTTATAACATGTATGACAAGGGCGATTGTTGCATCGAACTTGAGTCGCTTTTGCAATTGAAGCGCAGCCAATTAACAAACAAGTTTCTAATACTCGGTATGATTCTTTGTATTTTAATACCAGCTTATGTTGCAATTTGTTGTGTTTGAATGACACAAAACATGTCAACGTTTTTAAAAACTTTCTCGATAGATTTATCCATATTTACCTATCCAGTTTTCAACTATATATACATATTACATTTGCCTAACCAGTTTTCACCTATATGCATGTATATATTAAAAGTTATATATACCGTACTCATATTTATCTAAATATCACAATCACCGAAAAAATATTGTACTTATTTAACACATATGTATGTAACAACGTAATTATTTATTCATAATATACGTTCCAGCGCACACGTCACTTCTGTGTGAAATAACCAGTCCAAATAACCGAGCACTTTCTGCCCTCGTGTGGGTTATCTGGACCCACTTGGCTCTATTAAAGGCGTACGCGAATTAAAAGTATCATAATTCTGACAATATGAGCCACCAATTTTTCTGGGTGACGCTGTCAGCCTTTCCTGGAACTGACAGCACTTCCGGCCGGCGACAGTTCCTGGAAATCACCCATGCCCTGGACGGCGATGATCGGCAGCGGTACGATTATTTTCTTTACTTGTTCGGTATTTTTTTTATGATGATTATCGTGGCAATTTTGACTTGCACTGAAATGGCCCAATGCCGTTGGCCTCGTAGCATAATTTTTTATGTTATTTTTTTTCAATATCCGCCCTAGAGATGCTACATCTCGTTTCTTGTCATGTTTCTGCCAATGATGCTTATCAAATTACTGCATACTTTTTTGAACAATTATTTAAAACAACGTGCAAGATTTATTAAATTACTTACGATACAGTTTATGTTATGAAGCATTTTCACTGGGTGAATTTTTTTTTCAACTTAAAACAAATTATCCACCCCTGAGACTACCTCGAGTTCATTCATGTTCGTGGTAAATTATTTTGAAATTTATTTCAACTTTTTATCGATTTATAAACTTCTTAAACATTTTAATTAATCTCGAAATATTAAAATAATAGAAAATTTCTACTAGCAATGAGGTTTTTTCTCGAAATGCTCCCTACGGCGGGCCAGTGTAGACCGTCCCTACAGCGGGCCAGTGTAGACCGTCCCTACGGCGGGCCAGTGTAGACCGTCCCTACAGCGGGCCAGTGTAGACCGTCCCTACGGCGGGCCAGTGTAGACCCTGTCTCTTATACACATCTAGATGTGTATAAGAGACAGCATGTATACTGACACACTGCACCTGAGACTAGCATGTATACTGACNGATAATCACCTCACACCAGGATAATCACCTCACACCAGGATAATCACCCCACCCCCGGATAATCACCTCACCCCCGGATAATCACCTCACCCCCGGATAATCACCTCACCCCCCGGATAATCACCCAGGCCCAGCTGGCGCGGCCCCGCGGGCATAGCCAAATTGCAGTTTTCGTTGTTGCAGCCGCGGTAAATTACCCAGCTGAGAATTATAGCCGTCTTAAAGCCGGCCGACGAATCACCGGCTATTTTTCCCAGTAAAATATAAAGGTAAGGAACAAAAACATGATGGCTGCTGGGCCTCTAGCTCTGTATGGTATGGTTCAGGTTATTAGAATACCTAAGCCTGTATCGCGTCATTTACAAACCGCAATGTCGTGTTCTGGATTGTTGAAAAATTCACATTTTTGGTGCGTTCAGGTCCTGGAATTTGCAATTAAAGTGAAATACTGCTGGAAAAGTATTCTTATTTCTTCATACTTTTCGCTATAATTTGTACCTTGCGGTATTTGAGTGTAACTCGTGTGAATTACGCTAAGCCCGATTTATTTTATTCAATACACTAACCTACATTTTGCACTACATTCTCGTATATAAATAACTAATTTTAATTGGTTATCGTCATGAAGAAGTAATGGTGGTAAAAACTGTTTAGAATTTATCGAAAGTTCTTTACAAAAATATACATATTAATCATGGCGTTATCATTCATCAGATACTGGATGATAGAAGGATTGATGATAAATTGTTGCCTTATCATTCATCAGAAATCATTGCTACTGTGATGATTCTAGCAGACCATGTAGACCCTGATGGCATGTGAGCGCAGAGTTCATCGTCGCGTTGTTTATTACGTATTTGTTGTGGTCAACCGCGACGCCAGTGCCGCCTCGGCTGTGGTGAGGGGAGGTGTGGGTAGCTGCGCTCCTGACAGCGAACCCTGAAACTTGCGAGATATTTGAGAATTTTATGCTTTGAACCTTTCAGGAAATGACAAATTTAATTATTGGGCTCTGAAAAATATTTTTTATTTTTTGGCAGTTTTTAATGACCTAATTTAATTTAGTGCCTTGAGGGTGATTTTGAAACTTTATTTCGTGTAGTTTTTATATTCATGCGCATTCACTTTAATTTCGTCCAATCGAAAATATGTAAATACAGCAATTGTGTTTCTTTGAAAATTTAGATTTTGTTGAGTTTATTCCTTATTCTATTATTAAGGATACGTCAAAATAAATTCAAATACTCGAAATGAAGTAGATGAATATACCTGATTAATCAAGGAGAATGTTTTATTTTAATTCTATGTTATCGGTAAAAATAATACCGACAATTTCGTTA